CCTCCCACTTGGCCCTCAGCATTTTTTTTTTTTAATTGGGGAATTGGGGGATGGGAACAGCGGACAGACAAGTTGCTGTCCTTTTGTTCTTCAGTCTAGTTTGTGGAGGACATTGCTTCACTGGCCCAAGTTGGCACCATCATTGCGCTCTTCCCGGGCGAGGCGGATCAGTAGCTGGCTTCTGGACAGTCGCTCACTGCGGCTGCTGGCCGTTCACACTAGCTGCTGGCTACACACGGTAGCCCATGGCAACCCACTGCAGCAGTGGCTGCAGCCTACGCTGTCACAGTCAACTCATGGCAGCCCAGCCCCAGGTTGAGCTGTTGTTCAGCATCTTAGCTATGGAGGGCAGTGTCACTGGCCCTCATATGTGGGATCCGAACTGTGGCCCTCTGACATCCCAAGCCAACTCTTAACCATTGCGCCACTCGGCTGGCCCTTGGCCCTCAGCCTTTTGCAATGTGATATCTGCCCCCCAAATGGTAGTGAACCCAGGTCTCACCCAACCCCAAACTCTCCCCAACTCTATCATACATTCATCACTCCAGGCAAAGCCCTCATTGGTTTCATTCCCACACCCGCCATCCCAGATCCCCAGGTTTTTGTCTTTCCCAAACCACTGCCAGCATCTCTAAGGCATTTGCAGTGTGGTCAGGTAGATTTGAAGAACAGGATGTATTCATTTTGCATGTTTATACATTTACTTTGTATGCTTATACGAGTATGCTGCAATTGGCACAATTACATTATATACTAAACTTCCATCTGTATCCTTTTGGCTCTGTGATACATTGTGTTTTTTAAGAGTCAAAGCATTTATTAATTTATTTCCTTTAGCTTCTTTCAACAGGGTTTGGGGGGAGGATAAGTTGACACATGTTCACGTGCCCCATGCGTTTTCTCTCAGATTTTTGTTGTTTTTATTTGTAAATCTCAGTTTATTCCTTTCTTTTCCAACTCTTCCTTTTGGGATAATGATGCAGTACTTTTAGGAATAGGTTTCCACAGTTCTTAACTCATCAAACCCCTGCTTGCAACATATTTCCCAAAACCTGTTTGAGTGAGTGTCCCCTGACATTCCATTCCATTTTATCCATGGTTATATCTACACAGTGTTTATATAGCAAATATATATATAGTTTCTCTTTTACCCTACTGTGTACATACTTTGAAAAGTTTGTTCAAAGAACCAGCCTGCTAATCATTCACTGCACCCCATGTACAATAAGAGAAATGCATCGGCTTCATGATGAATTGCCAACCTAACAGAAGGACATCTTGTTTGCATTGTAATGCACCAAGTGTCAGGTTCTTATTTTGTTATTCACTGGCACATTAAGGGATAGTTTTTAAATTTATTTCTTTTTTCCCCCTCCCTTTTAGCAAAACTCCATGGAGACCTCTTGATCTTGCCACTTGGGTCAGGAGCAAGGTTGCCTTATTTTAAAATGCTATAGCGTCAGGCCACCAGATAGTTCAGTTGGTTGGAACGCGAGCACTGAACCACAAGGTTGCCGGTTAGATTCCCACATGGCCAGTGACCTGTGCCCTCTGCAACTAGATTGAAGACAAAGACTTGACTTGGATCTGATGGGTCCTGGAAAAACATGCTGTTTCCCTTCCCCAATGAAATCTTTAAAAAATAAATAAATAAAATAAAATGCTATAGTGTCTGGGACTCATCCCATCAGCACTACATTTAAGAGCATTCACCGTTAGTTGCCATAGTAGTCTGTATTATGCAGCCTTCTTATTTCATTTTCCTAGTCACTAGGAATGGACGGACACCTCTATTCCTTCCAATTTCCCACCTCAATGGACATCCTTATCTGGTGCAAAACTTTCAATGAATATAAAAACTTGCAACAGAGCTGCCAAGTCATAGTTTTTGCAATTTAACAGGGAACCAATAACTGGCTTAAACAAGAGAAAACGTTTATTTGTCTCTCCTGGTGGACAGACTGAGGAACCCAGGTTGTTCTGTCAGTTGCTCCTCTAGGGCAGTATCTCAAGGGACATTTGGCTGTGTCTGGAGATAACTTTGGTTGTCACACCTGGCAAGGGGGTGTGCCACTGGCATCTATAGGATGGTGACCAGGGACGCTGCTCAATATCCTGTAATGCACAGGGCAGCCCCCCACCCCATGACAAAGAATGATTTGGCGTCAGGTGTCAATGGTGCTGCCTGACCTAGAATAGTCCTCACTTCTTTTATTTATGACTGACTTATTGAAGAGACCGGGACAGTTGTCCTGTAGTGCACCCCACCCTCTGGATTTGTGGGTTGCTTCCTGATGTTGTCATTTAACTTGTTTTCCAAGCCCTTCCATTTCCTGCCAACTGGATGTTAGGTTGAGAGACTTGATCAGAGCCAGGTTTAATATTTTGGCAAGTTGTGTCCTAGGGGAAGCTGTGAACTTCCTGTTGCATCACATTAAGAGGCCCAGAAGGCCCTCGGGTCCTAGGACTGTGATACTGAGCTTCATCAAAGCTAACCCTGGTGACATTCTGGCCTCTGTAGCGAAGTCCATTCCCCTACACCTACTGAGCCCTCTGGTCCCCTGTGCATATCTTGTTCCCCATCATTCTCTCACCTGATGTTTTATAATGCCCTTGGTGATTAGTGCCTCAATTATTTCATTGGATTTTTCAAAATAGTAATTTTTCTAATACTCTTAATTGCTTCTACTTTTTTTTTTTTTTTAAGCTGGCATTCTTTCTGGGCTCTTTGGTGACTGTGAAACACAGATACTACTGAGAAGGCAAGACCATGCTTAATTCCTTACTTGTAATTACCACCGATTCCAGAAAAGAGTTGGTCGAGATTTGCTTCCAATGGTATAATAAATGTGTGTTTTTAACTTTCAAATTGAGGTTTAACATACACATAGTGCACAGATCTTGAATAGAAAGCTCAGGAAATTTTTATATCTCTACACCTGTGCAACTGCCATCAGATAAGAACGTAGAACATTTCTAGCCCCACACTGCCTTCCCTGCCACGAAGACTTATGATGAATATTTGTGATTGAAGAAATGATTTCCAGGTGTGGCAGTGCCCATCTTGGGGTTCACAGACTTCAGAAAGGTGGGCAAATGGGTGGGAGGTGGAAATAGGGCTTCTAGGTCCCACTCCCACATGGCTGGCCCTAGGACCCGACTCGTCTCACAGAAGCAGCTGCAGGGACTGACTTGCTTTGCCCATTGGAATGGATCCTGGGCACCTCCTGCCTGGAAGACTAATTAATTTTGGGGGGATTTGTCAAAACTGGGGCTCAGCTGACAAAACTGGGGCTGCTGCTGTTTCTCCTCTTCCATCAAGGGACACACCCAGGGGCAGCAAAGCACACAAAAAACCCTCTGAGCCTCGGTTTGCTCACCTGTCAAGAGGTGGTAATATTCTACTTTGCAGGGTGTTGGGAGGATTTCATCTGGCTACATTACCTCTCTGACCTCCCCTCCTAGCACTTCCCTCTTTGCTTGTTCTGCCAGAGTCAGATGTTTGTTCCTGCCCTCAGGCCTTTGCTTCTGCAGTTCCCTCCATCTCAGTTTTTAGGGGCTTGCTTCTTCTCACAACTCAGGTTCAGTTCTCATGACCCCACCGCAGGTAACATAGGTTACATACAGCATCCTCTCACTCTTCCTGAACACCCTCTAACGTTGCTCCAACAGCCCCTATAAACCTATTTTATGTATTAATTTCACTGGTAATTGTCTCTCCCCTAGTAGAAAGCAAAGTCTAAGGAAATGTCTGCTTACCTCACTTTTACAGCCTGGGACTTGCATGGAGGAAGTGTAATGTTGGTTGAACTAGGAAACAGAAATTCAGAGAGGTGGAGACACTTTTTCATTGTCACACAGCAGAACTGGAATTAGAACCTTGGGCTCTAAGCCTTTGCTTTCTTTTTCCTCCCTTCTCTGACTCTGGTAGGGATTAGGGAACAAAATTTAACGGGGTGTCAAAAAACAGTCATCAAGATAATTAGTTTTCAAAAATCAAAATTAATGCAAAAATATGATCAAAATATTTTTTTAAGTAAAAGACGAGATCTGACCCTGCCTCGCATGACTCACCTCAGTCTATTGCCAGTCCTGGTGGATCCTGTCTTTATTAAAAACTTCAGTATCTTGTTCCTCATGGATTTATTTTTTCCATTAATTTTGATATTTAAAAAATATTGCATTAGAATACTACTTATCTTGATGACTGAGTTGTTGCGCCCGAGGCTCTCACACTTCTCTTTATTCTCCCCGGGGGAAACTGAGGCATGGAGGACTGGAAGGGGAGGAGTGCAGTGCGGAGCTCTGCTGAGCAGCCGGAGCTCACCCGAGAGGGGCCGGGCACTGACCTTAGTTAGCTTATCGCCTGCGGTGGAAGCAGCTAATTAAGTCCCCCGCCTGCGGCAGACCTTTCCCAGGGCGGCCCGAGCTGCCAGCTGGGCCGAGATAGCCGCGGTGACCTTTATGGGACCCAAGGGGCGAGAAGACGGGAGAGGGCGCGGCGGCCGCGCGTAGGAAGGAGGTGGCGAGGTTGGGGGGTAGCTCGGGGGCTGGGACCTGGGATCAAACACGCCGCGGCTCCCCACGTCCAAGCCATCATCATAGGGTGATGGGGGAAGGGGAAGAGCACCCGTGATATCATCAAACCCCGAGCCTGGCCTCAGCCACTGACGTCACAGACGAACAGCGCTGCGTCACCGCATTCCTACCGGGACGTCTGCGCAAGAAGTCAAGAACTGGCCCACCAGAGAAGGGAGAAGTCTGAAAGATGAGAGCGTTCCTTTCTCGCCCTTTATATTTGGTAAGGCGCTAAGAGTAGGCAGAAGCGGACTACCACTCCCAGCAGGTCTTGCGTGCGGCGCATGCGCATGCCTTCCAGTTAGCGCGGCAAAGCTTTGGGTAGATTGACGGCCCTTTAATCGAACAAGAGGGCTGGTTTTACAGACGCAAACCAATCCCGACCTCATAGACCCCACCCCTTTATTCTTGGCCCGTACCTTCCTTGCGGGACTGACGCGCTCCGCGGCTTTTAAGCGTTCAGTTTCGTTTGATGGGCATTCCTACCGATGAATCAGAGCGCCGGGAAGTCGAGAGGGTGTTGAAAAGCGTGCTTTGGGACCAATAGCTTAGCGTCAGGGCCCAACGCAGTCCAATCACTTCTCCCGGCGCCGCCAATCACCCTGGATCCCGCCTCCAGCTCGTGACGTAAGAAGGGTGGGTAGCAACAGTTGCCCCGGTGAGGGAAACGGAGGCGCCATAGCCACGGTAGTCGTGGCGACCAAGCAACCCGGCAACGCGAGTCAACAACAACAACTGCCCGGCCGACCCCCACCCCCACCCCCCCCTGGCCTGGCCCGGGGACCCCGGCACGTTCCGTCCCACTCCTAACATCTCCTCCAAGACCTCTGGAAAGCCCTTCTGCGGACAGAAGTGGGGAGAAGCCGAGGTAACAGAGGCGGCTCAGGGGTGGCTGGCTGGGACGAGGAAGACGGCGGGACCGGGGTGGCGGGTGTTGCTGTTACAGTCCGGGGGGAAGGGGCGGGCGGTCAAAATGGCGGCGGCGACTGTCGGGACCGTGGGGGCGGGGGCCGGGGCCCGGCTGGGGCGACACCACCCGCCCGGGCCCTGCGGCCCGGCCCCCGCGAGGGGCGGGCGCTCGCAGCAGTCGGCTAGTGGAGGTCGGTCGGCCGGGGCGGGGGGCTTTTATATGTGGGGAGGTGCGGAGGGGCGGGCCTGGAAAGATTGGGCCAATAGGAGCTAGGGAGGGGGTGAGGCGGGGCTGAGGCTGCTGGGCGGGGCCAATCCTTAAGGTATGGGCGGGGCTGGCCAGTGACCCCTAGGAACCGGTGGGGCAGCTACCACCGGCACCTGCCAGCTCTCCAAAGCAGTGGGAGGCCACCTGTGCCGCATCCCTTTAGAACAACCTCCAACCCCAGTCTTCCCCTGGACTCAGTGCCTGCCTGCCACAGCTGAAGCCTCAGTTTTCCATCCTGTAAAATGGGGAGAATCATTGTCATCGCCCCTTTTCCTAATTCCTTTCAGGAATCTCTATCACTTCATCTTTAAACTTTTACCCCATCTATTGTTTCTGAATGTTTGATAGATTAACTGTTAGCTAGTTTTTATTTCAATCCGGCTGTCAGCCCCTAAAGCGTCTTTCTCTCTGAGCAGAGGCAGAGACAAAGTTTCATGGAGAAGCTGTGGGCTAGGAGTATGGCTTTAGCCTAGAGGACTTGGTTTGCAGAAAGCGAATCCTATGGCAGGCAGGAGTGATCTTGAATGACTGAGTTAGAGGAACAGCAACTTGATAGCTTCTCTGTGGGCTGATGGTGTGGTCCCAGGGTAAGGGGCTTGTCACTGGAGATAGGACCATTCCTAGCTGTTGTGCCCATCCAGGTCTTCCTTTTCTGAGAATGGGGAACAAATGTAGCCTGAGGAAGTTTCTTAGGTTTCTTAAGCTGCTTCTGTTGGCCAGGCACATGTTTTTGTGTCAGTGAAGTTGGTGTCAACTGGGTCACATGTCACTGAGGAGGTACCAGCCCTTCAGAGCTCCTTGGGCAGGAGGGGCACACCAAGATCAGAGGAAGGGCAAGTAAGTGCTCCAAGTTTGTTAGAAGAGAATCTGAGGGACTGCTTTGGCAGGTGACAAGATCTGCCAGCTCAAGGAATAATTTTTTTGTTTTTTAGAGAGTCAGCCAGGCCAAAGCCACTCTCCTTATTCTCCATCTTGCTTTGGAGCGTGGCATCAGCAGAGCTGACTGGCTATGTGCAAACTGCCATTTTTAAAACCGGATCAATAAACTTCAAGGAGAAGGATCTTGCTTCAGGCTCTCCCAAAGCTTTCCCCCAAGAATTTGAGATAAGGCTTGGGGGTGGGATCTCACGTCTCCAGGGAATTTTCCTAGGCCAGGCCCTCTTTGAGAGTGGGAAAGTTATGAAAGGTGGAGATTAATTTTTAGTACAAGTCTAGAAGTAACCAAGTTGCCAGAAAGATCATCACCACCTGTCAGAAAGGTGAATTTTGAGCAGAAAGAGATGATTCTGATTATTTAATCTTGATGACTGTCCCTGCCCCCCCATCACTTTTACATTTGAAGGGCTCAAGCCCAGAGGGGTCTTTTGACTAGGGTAGGGAACATTGGCTTGATTTGCTTGTCATTGAAACCATCAACTGCTTTCTAGCTTTGTGCTCTCAAGTGAGTTACTTAACTTCTCTGGGCCTCAGTTTCCTTCAGTCTAAGCTGGGGGTAGTGATCATTGGTAATGATTTTAATTTCATGTTACTGTTCTGTGGATCTCATAAGAGAATACAAGTTAAGCATCAAATGCATAGTAATTGCTCAAACTATGTTAGCTGCTACTGTCATTATAATGATTGTTGCTTCCTGCTCAGCCCTCAGAATTACACTGTTGGTGTTTATTTTTATCATTTTAAATCGGGTGAAAGCCTAGTGGCTTGAAAGGTTGACTGGCTTGCCGGGCTGTGTGGCTGATGATAGGGATCCCAGGAGGTGGATGCCAGGACTCCAGTGTCTATTGAGAACGTGTCACTCCCCTAAAGCCCTTAGGAGAGTAGCCAGAGAGAAAAATTATTCCTGGGCCCCAGGCCCCGACTCAACCCCAAGCCTTCCAGGAGGCAGCTGGGTGAGCCAGGGGTGTGAATGTCACAGGAAAGGTGTCTCTGGAGCCGAGGTCCTTGCCCTCTGCTCCCATATACGCCTCGGCATTTTGGGGCCAAGGACAGGGGATGGGCCAGGCAGAACCCCCAGGGAGTGGTCTGCAGGTACCAACTGCACAATGCATAGTCTTCCTGGCCTAGGAGGTTCGTTCTGGACCAGGAGGCATTACCCACCCCTGTAACACAAGCCTGCTGCTGGCAGGAAGCAGTAACTTTTTCACAAGGTCTCATCAATCAGTAGATTCGACATTCATTAGCAGTGTGTTCCTGGCCCATGGACCCTCATTTGACAGTAAAAGTTGAGCCCCCAGTGTGTTCTAGGAGCTGGGGATGGAGTGATGGGCCAGGTCTAAGCCCTTGAGGAGCATCCTGTCTGGTAATGGAGGGAAGAGTAACTATGACTAAGAAAATAAACAAGGAAATACAGGGCCAGGAAGAAAATACAACAGGAGAATGTGCTCCAGAGTGCTGGGGCGAGGGGGTGGGTCACTTGAAATCCATGAAGGTGACAAATGAGCTGAGACCTGGATGATAAGAAGGAACCTGTGGTGGTGATGGCGGTGGAGATAAGGAAAGCAAATGAATAGGGGAAGAGCTGGTGCAAAACTCCTGAGGCAGGAGGAGGCCTGGAGCATTTTGGGAATGAGAGACATTGTGGCTAGAACATCCAGGGTGAGAAAGGCAGGGACTGGAGGGACCAGATCCCACAGGGCCCTGTAGGTCATGGGAGGGGCTCTGGATTTTATCTATTCTTTGTGATGGGGAGCCTTGGAGACTTCTGAATAAATGAGTGACAAGATAGTATTTGTGTTTTCAAAGGATCTGATAGACTATAGAGGCAAGAGTGAAGCCAGGAGCTAGTGACAAAGCAGTGGCAGGTGTCCAGGCAGGAAGTGATGGCAGCTCAGACTAGCAGGTGTTGATGAAGATGGAGAGCCGTGCCTAGCCTTAGGATCTATTTTGGAGGAGTTATTGAAAAGTCTTAGAAACTAACGGGGTATAGAAAATGAGGGCAATCCACATCATTACAGTTAATCTTCCCATTCCCCCATAAGTTCTTTACTGAAGCCATTCTACAGATGAGGAGGATGAGTTTTCTTTCCCTTTCCTTGGAAAGGGCCTCATCCAAGATGTAAACCATTTGGTTATAGGATCTGGGATACAAAACAGGTCGCCAACTATGGCTACCACCTGTCTTTGTGGCCCATGAGCTAAGAATGATTTTTACATTCTTAAATGATTGTGTGCGTGTGTGTGTGTGTGGGGGCGAATCAAAAGAAGGATGTTTTGTGACATGGATAATATACCATGACATGTGAAAATTATATGAAATTCAATCTCAGTGTCTAGTAATAAAATTTTATTGGCACATAGCCATGCTTACTTGTTTACATATTATCTATGGCTGCTTTCACACTGCAATGGCAGAGATTAGTTATTGCAACAGAGACTGTTTGCCCACAAAGCCAAAAATGTTTACTGACTGGCCCTTATACAGTTTGCTGGCCCCTGATCTAGAGTAATTGATTCACTCTCCAAAAAACATAGCTGTTGGCTTTGAAGATAGGGCAGCCACTGGTGCTTTTCTTGGCAGTTTCATTGCCAAGGAGCAGATTTGCTTAATGATTCCCTTGTTTCATGTGCCCTGCTCCATAAAGAAAGGGGGTCTCATATTCAAAGAGATGGGGAAGGCCTCATGCTATATAGAGATTTGTGACTTATTCCTCTCTAGGGAACACCCTACAGAACTCTGCTTAACCTGGTCATCCACAAATGGGGAAAAAAAAGTATTCCTTGGTCAAATAATTATGGGAAACTTGGCATCCTGTTTTCCCCTTGCTGGAGACTGACAATGACAGTGCTAAAAAGACCTTTAATAGAGAAGTTGGTTTAACTGTTTTATCCATCTTCCCCACCCCTTTTTGAGTTCAGACTTTCAGCTCTCATCCTGCCCCTGAGTGGAAGGGATGAGGCCTGTGGGCTTTGTTTCTCGAGGAGGAGAAAGCACCAGTGAGTGTGGAGCTGTTAAAGCCCTTTCCTGGTAGATGGAGTCATAAGGGGCCAAGTCGCCTAGGGCTGAGAAAGCCCAGGCCAGGGTTTCTCAGAAAGCGCCCCCAGGACCACCTGCCTCGGACTCATCTAGGGGTGGGGGTAGCTCAGACAGTGGACTCTAGTGTCATCACAGACTCTGGGCAATGGGGCCCGGGAACCTGCATTTAACTAGCTTCAGGTGATGCTGATGACACCTGGGTGCCTCCTTCCAAGAGCTCGAGGATTATGCTTGTCTCCTCTCTCCATCCCCACCTGGCACAGATATTTGTGGAGTGAATGATAGCAATAGCAGCTTCCACTTCTCAGTGCTCACTGGGTGCTGAACTGATCTCATTGGATTTTTACAACAGCCCTGTGAATCGGCTGTTCTCATCACGCCCAGGTGACAGATGGGGAAACTGAGGCCCAGAGGAAGGTCAGTCATGTGTTCATGAATTAAGAGACAGGCCAGGGTGCTGATTGGCTACAGCAACTTGAGCACATAAGCTGAACCAGAGTTTGAACCTGATGGTGTGAGAAGCCCCTGGGAGATGGCTCCTCTAATGCTGGCAGGAAGGAGTTTGGGGAAGGCAGGGGCTGGAGGAAGATGTCATCTCCCTGTGCGTGGCAGGCAGCTGCCTCTTTCCTCTCCAGGTGGGCAAACTCCTCCTGCTTCCTGATTCCTCAGCAGGGAAGCACTGAGACCAGCCACCCATCTGCCCTGCCTGGTGGATGGCTCCCCATAACCTGGACCAGGGCCTATCCCATCTGCCTCTGCCCCTCTGTCCCTAATGACTTGGCCTGGCAGGGAAGGTGGCCCCCAGGCTCTACCAGCTCTGTCCGTGCCAGCCAGCAGAGCCCTGCAAGTGGGCACACCCAAGTACAGACAGAAGCTCCCCTTTCCTGTGTAGCTCACAGCCCAAAACAGGGAGGCAAGGCCTGGTGGCTTTGTCCTCTTTCTTGGAGCTTTGTTAAAGGACCGTGGGCGATGATGTGACCCAGAGCTGTCTCCTAAGTGCTTATCCTGCGCCAAGTGCTTGGCCAAGCTTGCCCACACGACCAGACTAAACTCTTCAGCAACCCTGCATTGGAGGCCGGCTGTCTCCCGTTTCACAGGCTGGACAGTGGAGGCCCAGGGAGGGGAGGCCCTTCCCTAAGCCACACAGCAAGGAGATAGCCAAGTTCAAGTTGTGCATCTAGGACTTGCTTTTAGTCTGCCTTGCCCCCTGCTGACTTGGACATCTCTTGCATTTGGCATCAAAGGGCAGAGTGGGAGTCCCAGGAAGGGAGGTACATGGGAACCACTGTGCTGCCCAGCATCCTTCAGGCTGCTCTGGTGGGCTCCCTGCTCCCCATTTATGCTACTCAATGGGACCCTTGGCAGGTGGCTAACCTCTGGAGGTGGGGGTTACCGTCAGGTCTCCCCACCTGAAAATCTACTGATTGTAAGAAATGAGCCTGGCTCCCTGAGTTAGCCTGGGAGCTAAGAGCATGTCTGGTCGGCAGGGTCAGAGAGACATGAGTTCAAATGCTTCCCTCCCCGTTGCTGTGCACCCTTTTGGAAGCTCACCCTGGAGCCCAGCTTTGCTCCTCTGTAAAATGGGTGTGGTGACTCCTCCCACACCAGGCTGCTTTGAGGAGGTAATCACAGCAAAGCCCTCTGGGGCTTCTCATCAAGGAGCAGTAGTTGTTTTTCTCCTCCTTCCCCTTGAAAAGCCCACTCTTAGACCTCAGGCAGGACTCTCAAATTCACATAACTTCAGGGGCAAGGCAGAGCCACGAAGGTATGGGACTGGAGATTCACCTCTGAACCACTCAAACATTTGTTCCCTTGTCCTTAGGCGCTCAGGAGCTGGGGATGGCGCACATTAATGCACGGTGGGGGGTGGGGGCGGAAACCCTCTGCCCATCCCCTGCTGAGGCAGGACTTAGGGAAAAGCGGGTGGTGCTTGCTTAGTCCAGCACCCAGGAAAGGGACCATGACCCTTTAGCCACCAGAAAAGCTGCCTCTGCCTGGTCAGATGGACCCCATACTGAGGGCAGCAGCGCTATAGCCCCAGAAGGGCCCCTCCCTGTGATGAGCTCACATCTGGTGTGTCCACCTATAACTTCCCTTAGGCAAAGGCCTGAACGCTTCTGTGTCCACAAGCAGTTCAGGGGGCTTTTGGGACTCAGACATCTTCCTGGTGTCTGGCACCCCACTGGGAATGATTCTCAGCCAAGGATCCAAGACCAGATGGCGGGCAGGTAGGGAGTTGGCACAGGCTGGCTGGCAGACAGCTTTCCCCACGACTTTCCTTTCCAGCAATTAGCCGACTAGTCAGGTGCTCAGCACCCAGGTTCAGACTCAGTCTTGGTGCTTCCCTGCTGTGTGGCCTGGGGCAAGCTCCTTAACCTCTCTGAGCCTCAGCTCCTCATCTGGCTGACTGAACCCAAACTCGGCTGTGATTGTTGCAAAGTTTAAAATGAAGTAATGCAAAGAAAGCACTATTACAGTGCCCAGCCCGCAGGAGCCCTCAGGAGAACTGTATTATCATTTGTCTCTGGGTAAGGGCCCGAGTTCCCCCCAGCACAGGGGTCCCCCAGGCACCAGGGGCTGGGACAAAAGAAGGCAGGAGTCCTGGGCAGGGGTAAGTGGAAGAGGCACAGACCAGCCTTGGTCCATACTCAGTGCCCCTACAGTGATTGGTTGGTTATATCTGGCCACCAGCCTCGGGATTTAATTAAGTTAGTGATGAACCCAAACATGTCTCTAGGGAGCCAGGAGCTGTCCCTGGTTTCCTCTGCCTGTAGATTAATTCTTGTTTTTACTTCTTTTTTTTCCCCTCCTCTTCTCCCCTCCCCTTCTTCATCCCAAGGAATAAAAAAAAGCCTTATTATTATCATTTTCCCCACTGTTGGCATGGCAACACAGGCATACGTTACTGAGCTACAGGCAGCCCCACAACCCTCCCAGCCACCACAGGCCCCGCCACAGGCTCAGCCCCAGCCACCGCCACCACCATCAGTGGCACCCCAGCCCCCCCAGGCACCTGCCACCGCCACCACCCCTCAGCCCCAGTATGTCACCGAGCTGCAGAGCCCTCAGCCCCAGGCGCAGCCACCAGGCAGCCAGAAGCAGTTCGTGACGGAGCTCCCAGCTGCCCCCACGCCCTCACAGCCGGCCGGCACGCCCGCCCCATCCCCAGTGTCCCAGCAGTACATCGTGGTCACCGTCTCGGGTAAGTGGACATGTGTGCAGAGTCAGGGTGCTCTGTGAACAACTCCAAGAGGAGCTTTTGGGAGCCTGGCTATGAGGGCACAGTGGTGATGCCCTCCCACTGTCACATACTGTGCCTGTCACCAGGACAGCAACTTTCAAACTCTCCGGGGTTCTCAGGATGGGATTTAGGGATGGGCGTGTCTCTGGAGACAGGCTTGTCAGGCCAGGCAGGGAGGCTTCTGTGCCCTCAACTCCTCCCTACCCAAGGCAGCTCTTAGAGCTGATTCTGTCTGTCCCCAAGTAAGATGTCACTTAAAGAAAGGATTGGGCAGTGGAGTTCAAGTTCACAAACACCTATTAGAGAGGAGGGTGAGCATAGGACTGCTGTGCTCTAGTCCTGGCCTCGCTGCCCACCAGCCCCTTGGCTACCCTGCCTCCATTTCCTCGTCCAGAAAATTATCGTAATGGCTTCGCGTGCTCAGGGGATGCGTGTGAGGTGCTCAGGGAGGCACTGCAGGGAGATCAGCTGGAGAACCTGGAGGCATCATCTCCCCTCCCCTCCCGTTTCAGTTTTGGCAGGACTTAGGGACCATGCAGGGCTCTTGGCTGGACAAGTTCAAGAGCATGTGGCCAAGGTCTCCTGTTTCTCACTGTGGCCACCCCTTACAGCCATGAAGCAAATGACCAGGAAGCTTGGATCATGACACCCATGGTTCCTGCCTAGATCATCTAGCCCACGCCCCAATTCCAGGACAGAGACAGGCTGGGCAGAGGGAACCAGGGGCAGAGGGTTGGGACAGGCGGTCACTCACCTGAGGAGAGGGTGCAGCTCAGACTGGGACTGGGCATTGTTAGTGGTTTTTAATGTGCTCTGAGGAGGGGGGAGGATGCGGCGAAACCCCGAGTGGAGGCTGGCCTGGTCCTTCCGGAGTGGAAAAAAAAGTTGTGGGGGGTCACAGGGCATCATGGGGGACTGAGTTTAGGACCATAGATGACAGAGACTCATATCTGTGGCAGTTTACATGGCCTGTAGGACCAGGAAAGATGTAGCCAGGGCTCTGGGCAGCATCCTGGTGCCTTCTGGTCATGTCGGGGTTCCCAGGAAGGGCCGATGGGTGGGGGCACGCAGGACCTCAGAGCAGTAACTCTTTCACACACAGATGGTTTGGAGGCATGGTACATGAGAGCCATGCTGAGCACACCAGGTTGATGCCAGGCTGTGGACATGGCCAGGGCTGCCAGGCCACAGGTCTCCCGTAGGTTCTCAGCGCTGCCCAGTGATCCTGCTACATTTCCTCACCAGCATACCCCTCACTCTCCGAGAAACCCACTTCCCCTCTCACCTCCATCACCTCTCTTTCCCTCTGTGCTCTTGACCCCTGAACTTGCTGCCGACCTCACTGGGGTCAAGGCACCATCACATGATGAGAAGGACCCCATCTCGCCCCCAGCCAGCCTCCCAGCTCTTGGCGTCCATCTGTACCCACCAGCTCTGCATGTCCCAGGTCACCCCCTCCAGGATTTGCTCCTGCCATCCTGGCCTTGTCGCTTGATCCCTATCTTACATTCTTTCCCACCTACCCACAAAGATGAAACAGCTCCATTTTAACCAGGACCCAGCCGGTCCTGCACCCACTCCAGTTACCACCAGTGTCTTCTCTTCCCTTTAAGTCAGAATTCCTCGAATGATTCATCCTCCCTTCCTCACCCCAAGTTCTCTTCTCAGTCACCTATACCTTTCTTCCCCAGTGTCCCAGTTGGAGTTACCATCCTCCCAGAGATGCCCTCCTATCCTAATCTCCGCCCACCTCCCTGCCACCCTTTCTCCGTCCCCTTTGATGCTGTGTCCTTATCTCCCTGGCCTCATCAGCAATGACCTCGTCAGGCCTGAGGCCTCCTCTCCACTTCAATGACTTACCCTTCATGGTGGCCTAGTCCAGTGTCTCTGCTTTCGATGTCACCTCTATACTGACAGTACCCACATTAAGGTCTGTGCCCTGGGCTGTGGCCCTGGACCCCAGGATCCTGTGTCCAGCCTCCTGTGTCCATCCACTTGGTCGAACAGGTCTCTCAAGCTACCATTGCCAAATGAACCTCTGGATTTCTCCCAATTCAAATCCACTCTCTTTTGAGGCCTTCTTGTCCTCATTAATACCACCCTCAGCCCTCGGTCAGCCTTGATTCCTGTTTTACCCATCCTCGAGCAAGCAAGGTCTCTTGGCTTCACCTCCTAAATCCAGCCAGAATCCGCCATCTCTCCCACCTCCATGGCCCTCACCCTGGTCCAGCCTCCGCCCTCACCCTTCACAGCTAGAGGGAGCCTGTTGACAACTGTCGATTAGGCTCTCACATCCCAGCTCAACCCAGATGATTCTGAGGCAGGTAGCCCTGGGTCACTCTGAGAAACCCTGGCATGGGCTTTCTGGGCCCTAAGAGATCTTGCCCCCTGTGTCCCTTCCCACAGGAAAGGGTTTTAAAAGCTCCACACTTGTTGTACCCTTGCTGATGAACACACAGCCTTCCAACTCTGGCCTGTGAGGCCTGCTGGCTGCCTGGCCCTACCTGGTCCCACAGTCCCCTTGCACCCCTGCTCCAGCCCCACTGGCCTTCCTGTGGCTCTGCAACACCCCCAGACTCAATCCAGCCTCTGAGCTTTTGCACTCTTCAGTGTCTTCTGCCTAGAGTACTCCCATCCTAGACCTTCTGGTGGCTCATTCCTTGTGTTCTTGTAGTCTCTGCTCAGATGCCACCTCTCTGATGCCCATACCTCTTTACCCCCACTCTCACGCCCTGTCTCCTTACTTTGATTTATTTTCCTTCTTAACATTCATCACCAACCGAAGTGATGGTGATAATGATGTCCACCTCCATATCCATGAGGGCAGCGTTCTGTCCACTGAGTCTTTGTGGAATGACTAGTGAACGCCCACATGAGTTCTGGCCTGACCCAGCGCAGCCCTCACAACCTGTCAGCCCCTGGGTGGCCTTGCCTGGCTCCACTGGAGGGTTTTGCTCAGCCTCCAAGACATTGATTGGCCCTGGACCTCCTGGATGCTGGCTTTAGCTGCCTTCTGGCCCAGGGTTGCTAGAGCAAGGGTCTGGAATGGGCACACAGCTCTAGGCCCCAGCACTCCCCACATCCCAGCCCGCCTCTTGTCTTCCCCTCAGCTTCTCCAGCTCCTTTTGGCGCTCCCCCGGGAGGTCCCATGCTCAGAGGTCAAGGCCAGGAGAGGTCTTTGGGTCAGAGAGACCTGGGCAGGACTCTCACTAGCTGTGGGCCCCAGGAAAGTGGCTTTCATCCCCCCACCCGAGTCCTCTCACCATGCTACAGGACACTTGGGGCTATTGAGATGATTCTCGGAATCCCTTCTTTGGTCAGGCAGTGGCTTAATCATCTTTCACAGTGGTCCCGTGCTAGGCGATTTCATTTTCCTGCTGCTCCTGGCTCTAGTGGAAGTGAGCCTGTCTCTGGAAGGGTGACTGGACGATGCTTCCTCGATCTGTTTTGAGGAAGGGGAGGTTGGCTGGTGACCTGTTATTGCTGTGTTGACCCCTCCCCCATCCCCTTGCAGTGATTTCCTAGGGTTCCTCCATGACCTTCTCCCAGGTTATTGTCCCTTTGCATCTGGTAGCCTTTGGGCCATGTGAGCCAGTCCCACGGTGGGAGGGGTAGGGGGAGTGTGACACCAGTGAAGGCTGCAGCAAGGCGCCTGGGGCTCCTCCAGGGCCAGAAGCAATCTGAGCTGACCAGGGACCCAGGGAGTCGAAGGGAGGGGACGGGGAGGGGCCTGGATCCGGACCTGGAGCCCAGGCTGGCAGCCAGCTGGGAGCAGCAACAGAAGGCAGGTCATCCAGCGTGGTCCTTGCAGGCTCTGCCCTAAGGAGACTTTGGAGGTGATGGAAAAGCAGCTCAAGTTTCCCTGCTCAGAAACAATCCTCTAGATCCAGGAATCCCATATTCAGAGGCCGTCAGGCTCGTCACTGGAAACTCGAGGCAGAAGGAGGGTGCTGTGGGCCCTGGCAGCATCCCAGGACAGTGAAACCAAGCCTGCCCACCAGGGATGGGGCTGGGCTGAAGGAGGGACTGTGTGTAGCCTCTCTTCCCTGCTTCTCCCTTGGAGTCCTTGGGAGTCCAAAGGACTTGTGCCCAGGAAAGTGACGTGAAGGGTGTGGGGGGCTAGGGTTTCACTACAGATGGTGAAACCAAGGTCAGTACAGATAAGGGACCCAGTACCCTGGGAGAAGCAGGGACCCAGAGCCCCCCCCCCACCAAGAGCCCCTGACTGAAGTCTCCCAGGGAGCAAAGGACCAGGAGGGAGAGGGCCAGACTGCCCCATTTGTTGCCTGTGGGGAACAGGCCTCTCTTAGCCTCCCCAAGTAGCTTGAGGCATGAATAGGTCTTGAAGGGGAAGTATGGGGCCCAGGGAGGAAGAGAGGCTCATTAGATTGAGGGACAGGAAATCAGCTGCCACTTCCTGACTAGAGACGAGACAGTGGGGCCCTCCCTGATCTCTCATGCACATGCCCAGAGTGGAAATGGCAGGCAGACAGATGCAGGCTCTCTCAGACTCCATGTCCCCCCTGCCCCTCTCCCCCCAACACACACACACACACACACACACACACACACACACACACACACACACAGCTTGGGCAAGACACAGGAGGCACACAGGAAACCATCCGAGGAATAGACTGGAATCTCACCTGCTCATCCTCTGTGCAGCCTGGCCTGCCCTCCTGACCTGGTAAACATGGGGGTCCCAGCCTTGGGGGCCACCACAGAGGCAGGAAACAGGCAAGACTGCTTTCCAGGCTTTCTCATCCTGGGCAGATGTCTGATCTCAGCAGGTCCCCAGGCCTCCAACTGCTGAGGGTCCTGCTCAAAGATCAGCCTTGGTGTTTTCATCAGAGCCCCCGGAGCCTAGGAGGAATCTGGGGCCAGCCCCCCCCCACCACCACCACCACACACACACACACACTTACTGCCTATCCTGCACCAGGCCAAACCTCCCACGGGCCTCCTTGGTTGGGCATCATCCGTTGGGCTGGGTCTGGCTGCTTGTGCCCCACAGACACCCAGGTGTGCCCGGTTCCTCACGTGACTCAGGGTTTTCTCAGGTTTCTTCCAGGAGGCCGTCTCAGTGAGGGGCCTCCTCCCTCACAGCTCAGGGAAGCCTCAATGGATGCAAGGGAAATTTCTAGCAAAACAGGAATCCCTGCCTCCTGGAGCTGGCTGCAGAGGCAGTTGGTCGAGTAGGCATGGTGTCATCCTAATGCCTGCCCCACATGTGGACCATGGGAGGCTTCCCTTGGAGACTGAGCCCCACCCTGGGATATTCTGGACCTTGTGGTGTCCCAATAGGCCCCTGTACCCACATGTCTGAGTCTGTGTCGGAGTCTGTCCTCCTGTACCCACATACCCGAGTCTGCACACCACTGCCCTTGGGGCTTTAGCCCAAGCATAACCTGAGACTCTGGGTTCCACGCATGGTGTAAGGTTCATGTGGGCACAGACATGGGCCTGTGTCCTGGCCTGCCTGTTCCCAGCTGGGTGACCTTGGGCAAGTCACTTCCTTTCTCCTGTCTCTGTTGTCTTATCAGGGTGGGGGGCGGGTGGGGGCAGGTAATAAAAGTTTTATCCATCTTTAGCTGCCCAAAAAGACCCTACTACAGCTCCTGGGACACTGGAAGCACTATAGTTAATCCTAGCCCTCCTTGTTCCCCCCCCCCCCTGATTCTTACCAGGAGCCCCAGGAAGTGGGGCTGGGACCCAGGCTCCTTGTGGCAAAATGTTGGAGGGAGGGCAGGCACATGTGTGCCTCCAACCCCACCCCAGCCTCTGGAACTGCTGGGAGCACACCAAGCCACATGAGTGGACAGGATGGACATTGTCTTGGCTGGGGTGAGGGTCTCCTGGCCAGCATCTCTCAGGGACACTACCTTTTCCACCCCGACTGCCCAGCTCCTATTAATCACTCAGTGAGATGTGTGTGAAACTCCATCTTCGCCCACCCAATAGCATCTCTGAGTACCAACCTCTCTCCTGACCCCATATTACAGCCCCGAGAAGGCCCTGTTCAGGCTGCTCCTGCTGGGAGGGGAATGTTTATTTCAAGAGGGCAGCTGGGAGCTCTGCATCCACCCCAGGGGATTAGCTCCTCAAGGTTGTGGGTATAAAACCGCCCTCGCACCCTGCCGCTCCCGAAAAGGTGGGCCAGGAGTCAGGAGCACCAGGCAGGCGCCACTGGATGCTGGGTGGGGGGAGGGGCAGGTGATGTGGGCACCATGTTCTATGATTGCCTCTTCTCAGCTGCCCTTCAGCGTGAGTATCTACCCACACCACCTAGACAGAGAGGCTAGGACAGTGGAGAGGGTGGGCTCAGTCACCAGCCAGTGAGGCCTTCCGAGGCCACTCCTCTGACCAGCTTCAATTCCTGGGAAGCCAGGGGTCATCCTGGGGAAGGTGGCCCCAGTGCCTTTGTCCTTCAGGGCTGCTGGGACCCCAGGGTAAGGGCCAGTCACTGCCTGTCCACAAGTCCTGTCTGTTAGAAAAAGAGGGTCCGGCACTCCGAGCCTTCACTGCATCATGGCTCCCCAATCACCCCTTTTGGTCTGGCTTTGGAATGAGAAGGGCAGGGGTGGGGTGGAGCTGCTTCTGGATGTTAAGGGTCCTCCTGGCTCTCACCCCACCCCAGTGGGCAGTGGTAGGCCTGGCCCCCTCAGGGGTTGGCTTCAGACTTCCTCATTCCCTCCTGATGGGCTCAGGGTGGGGGCGGGGGCAGAGGCAAGGTTGACCCCGTGACCCCTTCTCCCAGAAGGTGCCATGCGGGCCAGTGAGACTGTGTCGGAGGCCAGTCCGGGCTCCACAGCCAGCCAGACTGGAGTCCCCACTCAGGTGGTTCAGCAGGTGCAAGGCACTCAGCAGGTAGGACACATATCCCCCCACCCCCAGGGCAGGTGGGGAGGGCCTGCAAGGGGGCAGTGGGAGCTGTGGCTGTGGGTACCTGGCCTCCCCTCCTTACCCCACTGCCAGAGCCATCTGCTCACCTGTCCTTACCAAGATGTTCACTTCAGTTGCCCCTTCACCCACCCGGCCGGGTCTCTGGGGGAAACCAGCATGGTTCAGGTCCTTCCTCCCTGCCCCTGCAGCGACTGCTGGTCCAGACGAGCGTGCAGGCCAAGCCGGGCCATGTGTCACCCCTCCAGCTCACCAGCATCCCCGTGCCCCAACAGGTAAGGCTGCCACTCCTGGCCTCGGCCCTCACAGGCTCCCTAGGGTAGAGAGCCAACCCCCTATAGCCTTCAGGGATCTTCCCTCACCAGCATCCAGGACACAGGCCCCATCCAGGGGCTGCCCCACCCACTGCCTCCAGCAGGTGAGACTGCGTCCATGGGGAAAGAGGAGACTTAACAGAGACAATTAAGGCTAGGCAGTAAGGAAAGTGGCTTGCAGGTCCAGCCTGGTGTCGCCAGGTAGAGAACCCAAGGCCGATTAGGTGCTGAGAGCCCATAGCCAACACAGGGATTACAAGTACTCTATCCCCCAGGAGGCTGCAGGTGGGGTGCTGGGCTCAGCACAGATCAGGACAAAGTCCCGTCAGGTTCAAGGGTGAGGCTCCCTGGACACAAACCCTGGCTCTGCCGCTTACGGACTCCAGGACCTCAGGCAAGCACGTTGGCTGCCCTGAGCCTCACTGTCACCTTCTGTTAAGTGGGGGTAACGACAGTGCTGCATCGGGGCTGTTGAGGCAGATCTGTGAGCTCATAGGCATGCAACACTAGGATGGCTCCTGGCTCAGCACAGATGCTCGTTAGTGCTCATTAACACTATACCACCTGTCATCAGTGAACTGTGGTCCTTCTCCCTCCCGGCTCCAGGCTCTCCCTGCGCAACGACTGGTGGTGCAGAGCACAGCCCCAGGTGGCAAGGGCAGCCAGGTCTCCCTGACCGTGCATGGCACCCAGCAGGTGCACTCACCCCCTGAGGTAGGTGGTGGCCCTATCAGCCGCCCTCCCTGTTCCCCTCTCGAGTTGGCCATGTACTCCCATAGTATGCTTGGGGCTCCCTGCCATGGCCCCCATACCCCCAAAGCCTAACTGTTCTTCCAGAATCCTCCAGCCCTCTCCATTCCCAGCCTTACACCCTTATTGATCCTGGACAGGGTGGCTTAGCCGCCCGATTCCTGGCCCTGCTGTCTCCGGGAGGAGGAGCAGCTCCCCCGCCACGCCACCCCGTCCCCTCTGGGCTGAGATGGGCCTTGCAGCTCAAGCTCAGGAGTGCCTCCCGGGACACAAAGTGGACCCCTCTTCCCTCTGCAGGGTGGGTAGAGGCTCCTCCACAGGGTGGAATCTGGGGACCCCCAAAACACCTTTGAGAGTGTTGGAGGCAAGCAGGCCGTGCGTGGGTGGCTGGGAGCATGGATGTTTGCATTAGGAACTTGGGGTCAGACCCCCCAGCTCAGCCATTTATTCCTGAGGGACTGTGGGCAGGTCCTCGATGCCTTCTGCGCCTTGAGTTTTCTATGTGTAAAATAGCTAATAATACCAGCATGGCCCAGAGCTCATAGGGGCTCTGCCTGGGGGCATCCTGCCTGGGAGCAATGCCTAGTGCCACCACTCATAGCTGTGTGGCTGTGGGCATGTCCATTGCTGTCTGTGCCTCAGCACATCTGGAAATTAGGGAATCCCTTACCTACCCTTCCTCACCTCAGGGCTACAGCCCTTCCAGTTATGGAGATAGTAGGTAGCCCCTGAACTAACACTGGAGTCTGGCCATCCTCACTGGGGAAGATGGCTCCCCCTCACCAGCACCTCTGGGCTGAACCCCTGACCTTGCCTGAGGGTGACCAGAGCCTGTGGCCAGGACTAGGCATTTGGATGCACAGGATGCAGCTAGTTAATAGCCTAGGTGGTTGGTATATACCCCCATGGGTTGCCGCCTTCCCCAGCAGCTCTTGGGGACAGCCTTCCTCCTGAGAAGGGTTTTGTCGGGGCTCAGGTGCCTCCGACAACGCTCCCTGTCTTTCCTTGTAGCGATCGCCGGTGCAGGCCAACAGCAGCTCCAGCAAGACAGCTGGGGCCCCCACAGGCACAGTGCCGCAGCAGCTGCAGGTCCATGGCGTCCAGCAGAGTGTCCCCGTCACCCAAGAGGTGCCAAGCCAAGGCGGGCAGCAGCTGGGGTGAAGGGTCCTGGCCAGGCGGCCTCTGCAGCCTCCTAGGCTGTCCATGGGAGCTACGGTGGGGAAGGCCTGTAAGAGCGGGCAGATGGGGGTCTTGCCACCTGGGCCTTTTGGCAAGCACTTCTGCCTCTCTCCAGACCCAGCATCCTCATCTAAATAATGGCTTCTGCCCTGGGGCCTGGGGGCAGGGTGGCTGAGGCTGCTGTGAGGATGAAATGTGGTCCTGTGGGAGGTTCCACTGAACAGCTTCAAGAAACAGCCTTGGCCTCTTTGGGCCCATTTGCCTGGAGGAAGCCCAGGGCCAAGTCCTGACTCACCCCTAAGGGGCTCAGGGAGAGACCCTAGCCTTCTGGAGGAGGCAGCACTCTGAGCCACCAGCCGTGGCAGCCAGAGCAGGTTAAGAGGCGAAGGTTGTCTGCCATCTGGTTGTTACCACTGAAGTTGGGAGGTTCCCAACCCCTCAGAAAACCAGATGAAAGATATAGATCCTCTTCCTGGGGGAAAGCAGATACCACATTCTAAAAAATTCGCAGTCTCCTGCCTGGTACCACAGCCCCTCTGAACCTCTTGACTTGGGTTGGAGTCTGTATTCCACTCCTCAGTACTGCGCCCCATCCTTTGTCCCTCACTGTGTGCCCTGAGGGTGATACCCGAATCCCCACCATAGCATGGAAGTGAGGATAGTTGGGCTTGTGGTCATAGGGGTGCGGGATAAATCTGTAGGGAGTACCAGTGGAGAGCAGGGACTCCCTCAGTCAGTCCCCAATTCAACTCTCAGTTGTGTCACTTCCCCTCAGCCTTGCTTTGCTGAGCCTGGGTTCTACACCAGTAACTGGGCACCCAGAGTCAACAAGGTAATGAACCTGGAAAGCACCTGGTGAGGGCCGGCATCGAAAAACTGGAGGTGGACTCTCTCACAGGCTACTCCCAGGCTTACATGAGTGCATGTGGATAGGGGATGGGTGCTTAGGGATGTGTTTGCTGCCATAGTTACCATGGTCTGATTCCCTTTCCCCTTCCCAGAGGTCCGTGGTCCAGGCCACTCCACCGGCACCCAAGGCCAGCCCTGTGCAGCAGCTCACGGTGCAGGGGCTCCAGCCAGTCCACGTTGCTCAAGAGGTGCGTGTCTCCCCCACCTACCTCTGGGCCCACCTAACTCTGGGCAAACTGGGACTGGGTCCGGCCTGGGTTGGGGAGGGAGGCAGGCCCCTCAGGCCACAGGGAGGGAATGGATCCACCCCCTGGGGTGCTCAAGGGCCCAGCCCTGCACCGGGCTCCACCTTTGGCTGTGGGCCTCCCTTTCTCCAGCACCTGGCAGTTCAGGGCCCAGGTTTTGCTAAGAGAGAGATTTGGAGTCTCCTCTTCCTGAGACACGGGGCGGGGAGCTTCTGGTCGGGTTGCTGTGTGAGCTCAGCAGCCTGGTGGGAGGTGGAGGCCTGGAGCCCCGCCCGTGGCCGCCCCCGGTGACCCCCCAGTATCTCTGTTTGTCCTCCAGAGCTCAGGCAGTCAGTTTCCCGCTAGGAAGGCAGAGCAGCAAGAGCCCCGGCCCGCGCCGCCGCCGGAGCCGCCGCCGCCCCGGCCGCCCACGCCCGGGCCCGGGCCAGGCGCGCTGGCCCCGGAGCTGCCTCCGCTCCCGCCCGCATGCCGCGGCGAGGTCCCGCAGCTAGGCAGCCCCAAGCCGCAGCCGTCCCATTACGAACCCGGCACGGAGCAGTGGGTGGAGCTGGTGGGCGTGCTGCCCCCGCACCTGCTCCTGCCACAGCAGAAAGTGGTCCTCGAGCCACTGCCCGGGCTCCCGGCCCGAGCCAGCCCCGACCAGAGGGTCAGGATCCAGAGAGTTCCCCAGGTGCTAGTGTTCGGCACGGCCGCCACGGCCCTCAAAGTAGGTGGCGGATGCACGGGCGGGGGGCAAGGGGCGGGCGGGGGCGGGATCCGCTGGCCCCGGCCCGCTCCCGTCCCCACAGGCCCTGGAGACCCCACCTCCGCCCTGCCAGTCTGGGGACCCGCCTCTGACCCCACCACAAGCGGTTTCGGATCCCAGGCTCCGCCCCTACAGATCAGGGTGGGGGTGGGGATGGGAAATGTAGGCCCCGCCCCTAATGCCCTGTGGGTAGTTCCAGGTTCTGTCCCACAAACCGGGCCCCATCCCAGGCCCCTGGCTCCGCCCCTAGATCCTGTGTAGGGTTTCCAGGCCCCGCTCCTGCAGACGGGTTCCGTCCCTGATGCAGACTCCACCCCTGAGTCCCTGTTTGTAGTTCCAGGCTCTGGCTTTAGTGACAGCCTTGTCTCCCAGTGCTTGGCTCTGCCCCTAGGGTCCAACTTTCACACCCACAGTAGGACCCTGTCTGGGGACCTTCTTCCTGCCACACTTCAGGCCCCACCCTTGTCCCCAGCCCAAGCAGAGCCCTGGCTTCTGACACAGTTCTGCTTAATCCCCAGCCTGGCCAAGGCCACAGGCCCTGGGCCTCTGACCCCTGGCCTGGTTCATGGTGTGTTCAGAGAGCCCAGAAGTGCAGCCTTCCAGCCTACAGCCATGTGTCTTGGCGAGGCTGGGTGTCTGCTGCCAGCCCTTTAGAGTCAGAGGCAGAAGAGTGGGCCCACCTCTGAACCTCTGCGTGCCCTTCCTCCCACGCCAGGTGCAGCAGCTCCAGCAGGTGCCTGTTCCACATGTGTACTCCAGCCAAGTGCAGTATGTGGAGGGCGGCGATGCCAGCTACACGGCCAGCGCCATGTGAGTCGGGGGAAAGGCTGGGGGAGACGATAGGAGGAGGGCCACAGGTCTGCTCAGGACCCCCCAGGACTAGAGGCCCCAGTCCCAGCCCTCCGCAGACCAGCCAGCCTTCAAGGCCTCAGTGACAGGTGCTAGGTGCTCCCCAAGGGCAGCCAGCCATGCAGAGGTGAAGCAGAGAGGACCTTGTAGGTTGGGAAAGAGATCCCAGCATAGCCTAGGGCTTTGGAGTCAGATAGGCCTGGATTTTAGCATAAATAAATAAATAAATTTATAAGATAAAAATTCCTAAGTAACAGGGAATGTTAAACAGTAAAAAAGAAATGGCCTTCACTTCTGACTCTCCACCCTGTCCCAGAGGGTACACTGTGACCCCCTTTAGAGATACTCTGAGAACAGAAGCTACCCCCTTTTTTTGTTCAGAAATAGAGACAGCGCATTCTGTGTCTAATTTCTTCCCCCAATTGTGTATCTCGAAACTCATCCCTTATTTGTGCATATGCGTCCTGGTCACCCTGCTTCACTGCTGCGTAATACTCCACTATGCAGATGTGGCATGAATGATGTAGCTGGACTTTACCTGGGTAGCACGTAGGTGACTTCCACTCCGGGTACTGTGCATGACACAGCATTAACAAATGTCATATCAGGCAAATGCCATGCCTCAGGCCTGCCCTAGCCCCAGCTCTGGCTCCTCCACATGCCACCTTCCTTTCCCTATCCCCCATAGTAATAATTCTAGAACTGTAGTTATTGTTGCTTCAGTTTTGTTTGATTTTTTAAAAGATTTTATTGGGGAATTGGGGAAGGGGAACAGCCAAGTTGTCTTTCAGTCTTGGTTGTGGAGGGCACAGCTTAGCTCAGCTCCAAGTCCAGTTGCCATCCAGCCGCGCATCGGCAGCTCGCAGCCACTCAGCTCAACGTGCTGTGCTCAATCTTAGTTGCAGGTGGGCGTAGCCCACCATCCCATGTGGGAGTCGAACCGGATACCTTGCCACTAAGAGTGCACGCTCTAACCACTGAGTAATCCGGCCACCTGTCGGCAGCTCAGGGCAGCCCAGCTCAAGGTGCGGTGTTCAATCTTAACTGTGGGTGGGCGTAGCCCACCATCCCATGCAGGAGTCGAACTGGCAATCTTGTTGTTAGGAGCACATGCTCTCACCAGCTGAGCCACCCTGCCACCGTTGGCAGGTCAGTGGCAGCTCAGCTCGGGCGCAGCTCACTGGCCCATGTGGGAATCGAACCGGCGACTCTGCTGCCCAGAGCTTGTGCTCTCAACCAGCTGAGCCACTCAACTGGCCCTGTTGCTTCAGTTTTTAGAAGTTTTATTTGGTTTTCTTTGCATTGGTCTGATTTTTCTTTTTTTTTTACATCCCTGCCATTTGTCCCTGTGGCTATGACACTGGGGGCAGATTAGCTCATGGACCGTGCTCACTTGGCCTCTGGGTCATGATGGTGTGGCTACCCTGAGGGACATGGTCTTGGTACCTGAGTCATGGTCCACGGCGTCCAGCTACCTCACAGTTCTGTCGATGTATTTCCAGTGCTGCCAGTCTCTTAGCCATGCATTTAACCAGAGCTGGCAGGGACCACAGAGGGCATTGCAGAGAGGAGACTGGTCCCCAAAGGCCCCTGGGATGTTAGAATCAGAGCTGAGCTGTGAGCCCAGGCTTTGGGATCCCGGGGTGGCTCCCTGTGCCTCTCCTGTGTGTCCCTTGCTTCTGTTTGAATTTCTCCCTCTGCGGTTATAGTATGTGTGACCCCACGTGGTCCATCATTACCATCAGGTTCTTCTGCTATGTGAAGCTCTTGGGGCACTCTGTGTGCTGTCTTTCCCTCACAGTGGATTGTTATTGGATTCCCAGCACTTGGCTGGCCTTGATCCCTGCCCTGGCCAAAGCCACAGCCCCTTCTCCTCCGTCCCTGGCCCTGTCCAGGCCATGTCCAGAGACACACACATTCGTTCATTCAGTGAGTCATTCAGCAAATAGCTGATGGAACAACATGTTTTTGAGCAAGTGTTGGTGTGTGGAAAAGTGGGCTAGGCTAACGCTGGAGGGGGTGGGCACTTGCTGGTGCCAGCACAGGTCATACGCCTCCTGTGTCACTTGTGTGGCAGATGTGCAGTGGGCTGTAATGATCAAGATCTGCACCCAGGTGTCTGAGGGCAGGGCCATTCACCTCAAGTGACCACTCCTGTCACCACTCTCCCCACCACCACTCCCTCTCCTTGCTGCCCCAGAGGCCTGCAAGGCTCCCTCTCCTGCTTCCTTTTCCTTCAGGAGGTAGCTCCTACAGCACCTTCTGAGCCAGGCCAACCTGGACCAGCCTTGCTACCTTTCTGGATTTGTAAAATGTAATGTTATTTTTAATCACTAATACGTTGAGAGGGCTCAAAAATCAAAACTATTGGGTTGTCAGAAAAGTCATGACGTATTTTTTCTGTTTTTCATTGCAAAAATGTGTCATGACTTTTCCGTCAACCCAGTATGTCCAATGATGTCTAGAAGGCAGCAAGAGAGGTGCCCACACCCACCCCTTCTCACCCCCACGATGGCAGACAGATGTTGGACATAGATGTGAAATTCGGCTTAGTCTCCCCTCTCTTCCCAACACACCTTCTGCACCCTTCCCTCCTCTTCTGTTCACCTGATGGAATGTTCTGGAGCTTGTTCTTTGACAAGACCATGAGACCTTTCTTCTTCTCCTCCTCTCACTCTTGTGTGGAATTCCATCATCTTTTACTTAATAGCCCCCCTAAAGATGGATCCCCAGTCATTTCTACTCTCATGCTACAATTTGCAGCTTTGAGCTTGTGTCACCTGAGGCAGGTCCTGGGATAGCTGGAGAACTCTCCAGGGCAAGATGGGTTGCTGGATGCAAAGGAAACGCTTGATATCAATCTGCGCTTGATAGTCACCCTGGATCGGCCCTCTCAGTGTGGCCACCGGGGTTAGCAGTAGAGCTCTTCTTTATCTAGCAACCCCCTTTCTACCTCCTTTGCCTCCGGGGCACGTACCACCTTCCACTGTGCCCTCGATTTACCTTTGTTTTTGGCTTCTGATTCAGCTCCCCCCACTAGAACATTAACTTCGCAGGTGGGGTCTTTTCTGTCTTACCCACTGTTGGGCCTGCGGTGCCTAGAACAGTGCCCAGCATACAGTAAGCACTCAATAATTTTTTTTTTTTTTGATTGAAGTGTGTGGCCTGTTTCAAGTCACCTAATCTTTCTGTCTCGGCTTCCTCACGTATGAGGTGGGGACTCTCATGTCCGACTACTTTGAGGATTTAATGAAAATTTGCCCATCAAGCACTGGGGGTGGTACCTGGTCCAATATACGGGGCTTTGGCTTCCTGCTTCCATCCTGGGAGCACCCCCTGCAGGAGCCCCTCGGTCATGCCCCTCATTGCCCAACTCCTGTCCCTGACTGCTTCCCTCTGCTTCTTTCTCAGCCGCTCCAGCACCTACCCCTACCCTGAGACACCGCTGTACACGCAGACAGCTGGCACCAGCTACTATGAGGCTGCGGGCACTGCTGCCCAGGTCAGCACGCCCGCCACCTCCCAGGCAGTGGCCAGCAGCGGCTCTGTGTCCATGTACGTGTCTGGCAGCCAGGTTGTCGCCAGCCCCACCAGCAGTGGGGGAGGGGCCAGCAACAGCAGCAGCGGCGGCAGTGGTGGCAGTGGCAGTGGCGGTGGGGGTGGTGGTGGTGGCAGCAGCGGCAGCAGCAGCGGAGCAGGCACCTACGTGATCCAAGGTGGCTACATGCTGGGCAGTGCCAGCCAGTCCTACTCCCACACCACCCGTGCCTCACCAGCCACTGTAAGTACTAACCCTGGCCCCAGAGGAGGCAGGCGGTGGGGAGCCCTGGGCAAAGGTGGTGGGAGGTGGGCAGTAGTTGCAGGCTACCGTCAACAGGAGCCTAGGTAGCCTGGCACCAGAGTGCTCGGATGAAGATGGCCTGGGATCAACTCCTCACTGTGTGACCTCAGATAAGTTATTCAGCCTCTCTGAGCCTGAGCTAATATGCATGAAGCTCTTAGAGTGGTACCCCAAGAAATGTCACGTACTCTGATTATAACTGATGATAGCAGAGAGATACTGAGGGGCGGAAGAGGCAGATACCACCGTAGGGGCAGCTGCCCTGAGCAAGGTTCTTTGTTCATCTGGAAGGCATTGGGTTCTGCACCTCTGCTCAGAGGCGACTGGGAATAGTCACTCCGGCAACCCTGGATCCCAACCCCAACTGGGCCCCTCACCAGCTCTGTGATCGTGGGTGGGTCAAGGCCTGGTAGTCCCTGTCCTCTCAGAGCATGGGATCTGGAGTGATGTCTTCCCCACCTTTTTGACTACTGCCCTCTCGCATGGTGACCCATTGTAGACCACATAACCAAGATGGACGCTTTCCCAGAAGGCAGGACTTCCCTTATGAACTCATGCAGCCAGGCTTCTAGTCTAATTTTTTTCTGAATGCTGCTGTGACCCACCTAACTGATTTCATGACCCACTAATGAGTCCTCACCCGCAGTTTGCAAACATACCGCGCTAGAACAGTGCTGTCTGATAGAATGTTCTTGGGGGATAGAAATGTTCTCTTTGTGATGTTCAATACAGAGGCTCTGGCCACATGTGGCTATCAAGCACTTGAAATGGGGGGAGGTCACTGAGGAACTGAGTTGAGTTGCTTTTTTTAAACTATTTTGATATAATTGTAGATTTACAGGAAGCTGCAAAAATAGTACAGAGATCCCCATGGGCCCTTTCCGCAGGTTACCCCACTAGTTACATTTGATGTAATTGTAGTACAGTATCCATCCAGGCAGCGAGCATTGGTATAGTGTGGGGGTCTGCTTCTGATCACAGTCAAGATGCAGAACTGTTCCAGTACCACAAAGGTGCCCCTCCTGAACCCATCATAGTTACCCCACCCTCCTCTCTCCCAGCATCCTTAACCCCCTGCAACCACAAATCTGTTCCCCATTTCTATAATATTGTTATTTCAAGAATGTTCTATGTGGAATCTAAAAAACTGAATGAACGAGCAAAGTAAACAGAAATAGTCTCAGAGATATAGGGACACAACTGATGATTGCTAGTTGGGAGGGGGTGGGGATGAGGGGGAAGGGGTTAGACAGCATAAATACGTAACTACAATATTGCCACAGGGACATGAAAGACAGTTCGAGGAATATAATTAATAATGTTGTAAATATTTTGTAGGGTGTCAGGTGGTCACATGTCTTGCTAGGGAGACCGCATCATGGAGGGGGTAGAGGCTTGATAACTGTACTGTACACCTGAAGCTGATGTTGTATAATATTGCATG